AAGTCAAGCGTGGCCAGGGGGCCCATGTTGGGACTACAGCGTTGCGTCAGCATATGCAGCGTCGCCATTCGGTGGCCTGGGAAAACCGTGATAAAGATACGGCGGTTCTGCCTGCCCCAGCCCCCGCTCCATCACCCGCTCCGTTACTTGCTCCGTCACCCGACGTCAATCGCCCTCTATCAGCCAGTCAAGGCTCCAACACCTCTGCTGAGGGGAGTTGTCGCTCGTTGGCATCTTCCGCTCGTTCAGATTCTCCTCCTTCTCCTGCCTTTCGAGAATCCGTTTCCAAGAGACAACAGTTTGCGAGCACGCACCTGACGGTGCAGAAGCTGAACGTCCTCCTGTCCAAGTTGCTGGTGCTGCAGTCCCTCCCTTTCCAAGTGGTGGACTCAGCACCTTTCAGAGAAATGATGGCTTGTGCCGAGCCGCGGTGGAGAGTGCCAAGCCGGCATTTCTTCGCCAAAAAGGCAGTGCCAGCCCTGCATTCACATGTAGAAGAGATGGTGGGCCAGTCTTTGAGCATGTCGGTCTCTGCCAAAGTGCACGGCAGCGCCGACGTGTGGAGCTGTAACTACGGTCAGGGACAGTACATGTAATTTACGGCCCACTGGGTAAACGTGGTGCCGGCACAGCCGCACCAGCAACTTGGACAGGTCACGCCGCTTTTGCCTCCACGTTTGCACGTCCTTGGTCCAGCAAAGATGTCCGCCTCTACCACCTCTTCTTCCGCCGTGTCCTCAGCCGCCACCCCCGTGCCAAGTCCCATTACCCGACCGGCATATTACATGTGCAGGGCGCAACGGTGTCACGCTGTGCTGCACCTGGTATGCCTTGGCGAACGTAGTCACACAGGGGAGGAATTTCTGAGTGTAATGAACAGAGAAATCGACAGATGGCTGTCTCCGCGCAAACTGAAAATCGGAACCATGTTGACCGACAACGGAAAGAACATGGTGTCTGCTCTGCGTCAAGGAAGGTTGTGCCATGCGCCATGCATGGCTCACGTGTTCAATCTGGTTGTCAAGCGGTTCCTAAAATCCACCATCCCACTGCAAGACATCCTTAAAATGTCACGTAAACTTTGCATGCATTTCAGCCATTCCTACACCGCAAAGCACACCCTCCTTGAGCTGCAGCGGCAGAACGGAATTCCACAGCATCGCCTGATCTGCGACGTTGCAACAAGGTGGAATTCAACCCTACATATGTTAGACCGCCTTTACGAACAGCGAAAGGCCATCACCGATTTCCTGATGTTACAAGCGATAAAGGTACTCCCCTGTGTAACTTAGATGTCAGCCATTGGCAGCTCATGCGTGACACCTGCCGCTTGCTCAGGCCCTTTGAGGAGGCCACGCTATTCGTGAGTCGGCAGGACTATGGGATGAACGATGTCATTCCTCTGTTGCACGTCCTGGAACAAATGCTGTTAACAATGGCTGGTCAGGGTGCGGTAGACGTGGCGCACAGATCTCCTGTGGGGGCAGGACAGGAAGAAGAGGAGGAGGTAGAGGAGGACATTGGTGCTCAGGAATTATTGAGTGAAATGGGTGGTTTTTCCACTCAGCGAACAGGAGTGGAGGAGCAGGAGCATCTGGTAGAGGAGGAGGAGGAGACAGAGGACCCAGACGCACCGTGGCAGTATGCTGTGGAGATGGAGGCAGGGAGTCCCTCGCATTCCTTGGCACAAATGGCCCATAGCATGCTCGGTTGCTTGCGTAGCGACAGCCGAATAATAAACCAAGACAGAGGGATGACTTTTGGCTGTCCACCTTGTTGGACCCTCGCTACCGTTCAAAAATGGTGGCCTTTTTCACACCTGCTGAGAGGGAGGCCAAAATAACGTACTATAAAAACCACCTATGTAGTCAGTTGGTCTCTGCCTTTCTGCGCCAACGTCCATCCTCAGACACTGTGGGCCCTGTGCGCTCGCGTTCCGCTGCCATGGCAGCAGGGTAGGGGTGGGGCGGTAGGAGCAGTGGCAGCTCCACCAGCAGCGGCTGCCTCAGTCTGCAGTCGATGATGAGTAGCTTTCTTCACCAGCGCAGTGAGGAAACTACTAACCAGCCGCAGCAGCAGAAGCATCAGGTGGACCTGGAGCAGGACCTCAAACATCAGGCTTGGGCCTACTTGGACAGCACCCTGCCAACCGAGGTAGACAATCCCCTTGACTACTGGGCAACGAAACTTGACCTTTGGCCCCAACTAGCTGAATTTGCCCTTGAAAGGCTGTCATGCCCGGCCAGTAGCGTGGCATCGGAGCGCGTGTTTAGTGCGGCAGGAGGTATTGTAACTCCGCGGAGGACACGACTGTCCACCCAAAGTGTGGAGAGAGACTCACGTTTGTGAAAATGAATCAGGCGTGGATTAGTCTGGATTTCAAACCACCAGTTCCTGACACAACTGACTAATCCGCCATGAATCATGCCCCAAACATGTTTATTATTTTTAACATAGGCCTCTGTATGGCCTTCAATTTAAGCTGCTTACGCTTCGCCACTCTGCCATGGGCCCCTGTACCGCCTCCTCTTGCTGCTGCCAGGTCCAGAGTGTGTCATGGGTCCCTGTACGGCCTCCCATTGCTGCTGTCTCCATCGCCACACTCTGCCATGTGCCACTTTCAGGTTCCTCACACTGCTGGTGGGTTCCATTTTGTCATAGGGTGCTGGCAGATTACGGGCCTCCCATTGCTGCTGCCAGGCCCGTAATCTGCCATGGGCCCCCGTACCGACTCCTCATGCTGCTGCCAGGCCCGTAATCTGTCATGGGCCCCCTGTACCGCCTCCTCATGCTGCTGCCAGGTCCAGAGTGTGTCATGGGTCCCTGTACGGCCTCCCATTGCTGCTGCCAGGCCCGTAATCTGTCATGGGCCCCTGTACCGCCTCCTCATGCTGCTGCCAGGTCCAGAGTGTGTCATGGGTCCCTGTACGGCCCCCCATTGCTGCTGTCTCCATCGCCACACTCTGCCATGTGCCACTTCCAGGTCTCCTCACACTGCTGGTGGGTTCCATTTTGTCATAGGGTGCTGGCAGATTATGGGCCTCCCATAGCTGCTGCCAGGCCCGTAATCTGCCATGGGCCCCCGTACCGACTCCTCATGCTGCTGCCAGGCCCGTAATCTGTCATGGGCCCCTGTACCGCCTCCTCATGCTGCTGCCAGGTCCAGAGTGTGTCATGGGTCCCTGTACGGCCTCCCATTGCTGCTGTCTCCATCGCCACACTCTGCCATGTGCCACTTTCAGGTCTCCTCACACTGCTGGTGGGTTCCATTTTGTCATAGGGTGCTGGCAGATTACGGGCCTCCCATTGCTGCTGCCAGGCCCGTAATCTGCCATGGGCCCCCGTACCGACTCCTCATGCTGCTGCCAGGCCCGTAATCTGTCATGGGCCCCTGTACCGCCTCCTCATGCTGCTGCCAGGTCCAGAGTGTGTCATGGGTCCCTGTACGGCCTCCCATTGCTGCTGCCAGGCCCGTAATCTGCCATGGGCCCCCGTACCGACTCCTCATGCTGCTGCCAGGCCCGTAATCTGTCATGGGCCCCTGTACCGCCTCCTCATGCTGCTGCCAGGTCCAGAGCGTGTCATGGGTCCCTGTACGGCCTCCCATTGCTGCTGTCTCCATCGCCACACTCTGCCATGTGCCACTTTCAGGTCTCCTCACACTGCTGGTGGGTTCCATTTTGTCATAGGGTGCTGTATGGCCTCCCATTGCTGCTGCCTCCACCGCCACACTGTGGCTCCACACTCTGGTTTTGGCCCCGTGACTGCCCAAATGAGTGAAGTGTGCGGTGATTCTAAGATCGACGGCACTCATCTGCATGTCATACTGACTGACAGTATTATTTCTCTTCCCCAGCAGACTCCAAGGGCATTTAAATTAAAGGTACAGTGTTCTGCACTAATATAAAGGCTCTCTGAAGCCTAGAAACACCCTTTTTATAAGTTAAATTCGCAGCGAATATATTCGACTCGAATCGAATTTATTCCGCGAATTCGCCGAATCGAATTTTTTTGAATAATTCGCTCATCTCTAATAATAAGCTATCAGGTTAGTAAAACAGCGATATCAGAACAGATTTTAGGTTAATAGGTTAATCACACATAGTTGGAGAACTACTCAAATTCTTTTATTTCATGTTTCTTCTCATGGTTACTGTGAAATTGTGTGAATGCATCAATGCAGTGCATGTTATCCCAGCTCGCAGAGCTTGGATTCATTGAATGAGTTTACCAAAAATTTAAATATTGCAGAATATACAGCCTCATGCTACATAACTAAGCTCAATTTCATGTTGAATAAACTAAATTATTAATGCATCTTAAATAGAAAACTATCGATAGATTTTTACTCCAAAAGCATTTTATTAAAATAAATTTGATAAAAATCAGAAAAACCCATTTGAATAAAAAAAAAATAAGATTTATATATATATATATATATATATATATATATATATATATATATATATATATATATATATATATTTATTTATTTCTTTTTTAAAATAATTGATTTTTATCCACCCTGGTACCAGTAAATGTATAAGTAGATTTACTGCTACAGTTAATAACTAATCCATTCTAGCCTACTCAGTGGGAAGAGCCTGAACAAGTATCATCATTTGGGCAACCCTTAAAAATTGCTCAAGCCCAAAATTTTACGATTACCTTAACAAAAAGAAACATTTTGTAACCTAGTGAAATATTTATTCTAAAACAGAACACTTATATTTGCAGCATATTTAAGTAGTTGCATTTTTCTTTCAGGTGAAGAAGCATTATTCTATTAATAAACAGCGTGCAGTACCTGTCAGTGGCACAAACTCTAGTTTGTTTCTAAGGTAACTGAGAAATATATCTTTGCACCTTGAATATAAACAGTTTCTACTGACATTGAAAGCCAAAGCAACAAAGCCTTGATCAAGGTTTTACAAAGCTGCAGAAACTGCATGACAGACTGCAAACTTAATATCTGATATAACGTTATTTTAATGTCTCACCATTTTGTGTCAGCTTGGTTGAACAAAGGAATGAGGTTATCCAAAAAGACTCTTTTGTAGTTTTAACTGCTTGATTATTATTTCCATGTTGATTTCCTTTCAAAAATGGGAGTTTGAGGTAGCGGCAGGAATCCTGGAAAACTGTGTTCTCTTCACACTGTAAAAACACAACTTCAAACTTTACAATTGCTAGAAAACAGCATGTAGAATATACATACATTACAATATGCCTACATTGCAGGTGTTAGTATTACGTTTAAAGGAAAAGTCATGTTACAATCATGTATTGTCTATAATTACCTAAAAAGAATTGAAATAATTTTCTCTTTTAAACACATACTGTCTGATTTTAACAGGAAAAAAAATTCCTAAACTGATTGGTAGCCACTAGGGGGTGCACATCTGTAGGCCAAACAACACTATGAGCAACCAAGCTCAATGGCTACAGAGAGAAAGGTATGTCATGTAAACAAGCGCAACTAACATACGTAATGAAATACAGAAGCCTCATAAAAATGCATGGCAAAACCTAATGAAGAATACAGATTTAGTTAGCAGTCTTTCTCCTGTTAGCAGGAACTTTAGATCATTTGTTAAATAGATTAAAATAAAGTTAAATTGTGACTTTTGAGAAAGTAAAAACTGTAATGATTTCAGTTAAATTCAGCCTTTCAGTTAAAATTCATGATTCTACACTCCCACCTGTTCTATTTTGCAAACACTTTCTGCAGAGAAAAGCTTTTGCAGAACTTTATTTTTTTTCAGTCCGTGTTGAAAACTAGTCATGTCTGTTACCCTTTGCAAATTGCTATTTTGCCATGCACATGCAGTAGAAAAAAAAAAAAATCTCTTCTAATACTCAAATAAAACAAGGAAAAAAAAAATCAGTATAAAGCCATAGAACAATTATACTTGGAAGACACCACACCTAGCAATTATTTCATAGTTTATGCAAATCTGCATAATTATGACAAAACATGTTTAAACCCCTCTCCTATAAATACAGGTGAAACTCGAAAAATTAGAATATCGTGCAAAAGTTAATTTCAGTAATGCAACTTAAAAGGTGAAACTAATATATGAGATAGACTCATTACATGCAAAGCAAGATAGTTCAAGCCGTGATTTGTCATAATCGTGATGATTATGGCTTACAGCTCATGAAAACCCCAGATCCGCAATCTCAGAAAATTTGAATATTATATGCAATCAATAAAACAAGGATTGTACATAGAACAATATCAGACCTCCGAAAAGTATAAGCATGCATATGTACTCGGTACTTGGTTTGGGTGCCTTTTGCAGCAATTACTGCCTCAATGCGGCGTGGCATGGAAGCTATCAGTCTGTGGCACTGCTGAGGTGTTATGGAAGACCAGGATGCTTCAATGGCGGCCTTCAGCTCTTCTGCATTGTCGGTCTCATGTCTCTCATCTTTCTCTTGGCAATGTCCCATAGATTTTTTATGGGGTTCAGGTCAGGTGAGTTTGCTGGCCAATCAAGCACAGTAATCCCACGGTCATTAAAACAGGTTTTGGTGCTTTTGGCAGTGTGGGCAGGTGCCAAGTCCTGCTGGAAAATGAAGTCAGCATCCCCATAAAGCTCGTCTATGGAAGGAAGCATGAAGTGCTCCAAAATCTCCTGGTAGACAGCTGCGTTGACCCTGCACTTAATGAAGCACAGTGGACCAAACACCAGCAGATGACATGGCTCCCCAAAACAACACAGACTATCGAAACTTCACACTGGACTTCAAGCATCTTGTAGTGTGTGCCTCTCCATTTTTCCTCCATACTCTGGGACCTTGGTTTCCAAATGAGATGCAAAAGTTGCTCTCATCAGAAAAGAGGACTTTGGACCACTGAGCAACAGACCAGGTGTGTTTTTCTTTAGCCCAGGTACGACGCTTCTGACGTTGTTTGTTGTTCAGGAGCGGCTTGACAAGAGGAATACGACATTTGAAGCCCATGTCCAGGATCCGTCTGTGTGTGGTGGCTCTTCATGCACTGACTCCAGCCTCAGTCCACTCCTTGTGAAAGTCCCCAACACTTTTGAATGGCCTTTTCCTGACAATCCTCTCCAGGCTGTGGTCATCCCTGCTGCTTGTGCACCTTTTTCTTCCACACTTTTCCCTTCCACATAACTTTCTATTAATATGCTTTGATACAGCACTTTGGGAACATCCAACTTCTGTTGCAATTACCTTTTGAGGCTTTCCCTCCTTATGGAGGGTGGCAGAGATGGTTTTCTGCACAACTGTCAGGTCAGCAGTCTTTCCCATGATTGTGATTCCTACTGAACCAGACTGAGAGACCATTTAAAGGCTCAGGAACCCTTTGCAGGTGTTATGGCTTAATTAGCTGATTAGAGTGGGACACTTTGAGCCTAGAATATTCCACCTTTTCACAATATTCTCATTTTCTGAGATTGTGGATTTGGGGTTTTCATGAGCTGTAAGCCATAATCATCACAATTATAACAAATCACAGCTTGAGCTTTGCATGTAATGAGTCTATCTCATATATTAGTTTCACCTTTTAAGCTGCATTACTGAAATAAGTGAACTTTTGCATGATATTCTAATTTTTTGAGTTTCACCTGTACATTGTTATAAAACACTAAGCCTACGGTACATTTTGTGTCCACTCTCAGGACCTGTACATGACAGTGGGGTTGATTTACTAAAACTGGAGTGTGCAAAATCTGGTGCAGCTCTACATAGAAACCAATCAGCTTTCAGGTTTTATTGTCAACACTTAACTGAACAAGCTGAAGTTAGAAGCTGATTGGTTGCCATGTACAGTTCCACTGGATTTTGCACTCTACAGTTTTAGTACATCAACCCCAGTGTTTCTTCCACACATTGAATGCTTCTGACACAAACCAAATCCAACTCCGACAGCAGTTTATTTCTTCTTTAATGGTTCCAGCCAAAGGCTGAAAGCTCAGACAAATGCATGGAATGAGATTCTGCTTACACAAACTTTAGGCTAGGCATAGATGGACAGATGTCTACTTGAAAATAAAAGACTGGGATACATCTGACTGTGGCCTTTAGTACTGGATCACTTTAAGAAAAAAAAGAAAACCCAATATGCAGTTTACACCAGACCATTAAGAACACAGTAGAAAAGACAGACCATCTATCACATCATTGCATTAAGCATTATATACATTATAAGCATTATATGATTTTCCCCTCACACATTGGACTAAAGCAGCACATACATGGATAACGCCCTCTTGAGATAAGGCTCAGCCATATTGTTTAGACTTACAAGCAAATTGGAAGACGTGTGCTATAAGGGATGCTGCTAACATGAAGAGTGCTTGCAAATGCTTCCTTATGGTACCTCCAAATGGGAATTTTTTCACACTAGTGTTGCATCGAGATGTTTATGGCTGGTTTTAAGCCAAAGGCCAGCATTAAAGTGTAGTTGGATGTGCATACATTCCAACAAAAGCTAGCAGAACATTACACATGTCTGCATCTAAATATCGCCTGCTTTCAGCAAGGAGAACTGAGCTGTCTCAATTTCAAGCTTAAAATACCCACCTCAATGACTGACACTAGATGACGAACATGTCACACAATGTGCATAGTGTATGTGCACATAGCGCATGCGAATTTGCAAGCAAATAGTTTTGTAAACACTTGCTTATTTTTTCAGATTGATAAATATTTTATTGAATCTAGTTCAATTTAAAAAGTTAGCATTCCAAAACAGGCCGAAACAAAACTTAAAAAACGAATTTCACACTTTAGCAAATTAAACTGATAAACTCTTATAAAAATGTTGTTGTACGGTCCATTTAATTCAAGGGTAAGGCTTTACTTTTTTTTCCTCTTTGCAAGAAAATAACAGTGGGGAACTGGAAGAAATTTGGGCTGGAAGATGTAAATACAATAAAGTGTACTAAATTGTAATATTCTGTTGTGATATCCAAGGTCTATTGCTTCATGTTAGAAGTTTAATCAATCCTAAGGAACTATTCTATAGTATAAGGTAAATATGTTTTTCATAGTACTAGAACTCGCTACAAAACACATACGAGGAGAGAAACTGACCCTACTTTATTACATTGTACCGTTTATCTAAACTTATTGTATAGTTATGTGCAAGTATGCATGTGCCCCTTTGCCTGGTCCCTGGAGGAGGTTGGCAATCAATGAAGTAGGCACTGAAAGTGTTTTCTGAATAGCGCCATGCCAAGTGAGTAACCTTATGTGTATACTATACAGCAGTGCAGCCACCCAGCATGGAACCAGAACCCAGCAGAAAGCAATGTGGCAGCAGTACCTAATACAGTGATTTCCAGCTTCCCAGGGATCATCAATGTAACTATTCAAAAACAGCCATACCTGGAATTCTGCTTTGAAATCATTTTAAACCCCCCTAAAAATTAACACAGCCTTCACAAGAAAAAAAAAGAGAAGTATTTTGCATGTCTTAGAGGTGGTCAGGCAGAGAATGGAGGCAGTGCTTGTTGCCCAACACCATTTTCAGAGTACAAACCAGATGCACAGTTAGGGCATTATTAATAATGCTTCCTGCTTTCTACCTGCCTTAGAAGTTAGCAGTGGTAATATAAAAGATGATTTCCAGTGCTCACATGACCCACATCTAGTATACAAAAGGATGAATGATGGATGGATATTGTACAATTAAGTTAGAAGTGAACTTGTGTTGGAAAACACAACTATCCTTCTATTCTCAAGATTTGGAAACAAAAGTTGTTGAAAAAAAATAAATTGTGGTATGGTACAAGTTTACAACATCATGTGTGATCTTTATAAGCAAGCACCATGTCTACATGTGGATGCTGATGACCTGCCACTGAAATTCAGGAATAATGGAGATATTGCATTGTACCATGGGTGACTATTCTAACACTACATAAATTAAAAAAAAAAAATCAGTCCCTGAATTTCCATGCAGCTCAGTAAAAAGTGTCAAGTCAGTTTGCAGATGCACATCTTTTTTCCTTAGCATATCCCGTTTCCAGTGACATGATAAGCAATATTAAATTGACCAGCCCCCACAAAATTAAAGTTCCCAAGTAATGTCAGATAATTTGCAGAAACTCAGATTAGCAAAGCATGTTGTGCCTTATGTTATTTCCCCAAGAAGATGTGGCAGACTTGGGCATTAAATTATGTCCGTTTCAGTTATGCAATGTATGTTAAAGCATGCATGCAAGCCACTACCTTATGAACAATGAGCTCATGGGTGCCATCTGGAAACGTTCGGCCATCCTCTTGCATAAGTGGTATGAAGGAAAAGCCAAATAATTTTTTCTCGCCCTTTTCTTTTGCTGTAAAAATAAAATATTCTTGTTACGCAAAAATACTGTATACACATCCACTACTCAATGGCCCTGTATTCTATTTTTCATGATACCTTTTTACTGTTTTTCTGCCTCCTTGTAATATCCTCCGTGAGCTCCCAAACATCTCCTTTTCTTCCCTTACTTCTGTTTGTTTGGAACAAGCAGTGCACATTAGCATGTTCACTGCTCCATGCACAATAAATATATCATATTCCCCAGTCCATGCCAGGAGCAAGCAAGAGGGTGGATACATTACTGTGGAACCATGGAGAATGGACATAACCACCCTCTAACAGGAAGTCAGATCACAGCAACAAACATAAATAAATAAATGTGAAGATATAGAAAGGGCTGATAGCAATAGAAGGTACTTTTTTAGTTAAGAATAATTGAATAGAATTTATATTTAAACAGGTAAACACGTGGTGCTGGTGAGGTATAAATGATCTGCATAAAAAAAGCACAGACTCAATTTAACTTTACAGGTTACATATTTGGTAGGGTTGAATAAAGACAAAAAAGTCCAACCAGTTTAATATATACACACATATACACAATATTTCCAAAAATATTGGGACACCCCCTCCAAATCACTGGATTCAGGTGTTCCAATCACCTCCATGGCCACAGGTGTAAAAAATCAAGCACCTAGGCATGCAGACTGCTTCTACAAGCATTTGTGAAAGAATGGATTGTTCTCAGGAGCTCAGTAAATTCAAGTATGGTACCGTGATAGGTTGCCACCTGTGCAATAAATTTATCTGAGAAATTCCTAGCTACTAAATAATCCACGGTCATCTCTTAGTGGTATTATAACAAAGTGGAAGTGACTGGGAACAACAGCAACTCAGCCATGAAGTGGTAGACCATATAAAATGACAGAGCAGGGTCAGTGCATGCTGAAGCTACTGTGCTTGGGGATGGCCCCTTCCTGTTCCAACATGACTGCACACCAGTGCACAAAGCAAGGTCCATAAAGACATGGATGAGCGAGTTTGGAGTGGAGGAACTTGACTGGCCTGCACAGAGTCCTGGCCTCAACTCAATAGAACACCTTTGGGATGAATTAGAGTGGAGACTGTAAGCCAGGCCTTCTTGTTCAACATCAGTGCCTGACCTCAGAAATGCCCTTCTGGAAGAATTGTCAAACATTCCCATAGAGACACTCCTAAACTTAGTGGACAGGCTTCCCAGAAGAGTTGAAGCTGTTATAGCTGCAAAGGGTGGGCCAACTCAATATTGAACCATACGAACTAAGACTGGAATGCCATTAAAGTTCATGTGCGTGTAAAGGCAGACATCCCCATACTTTTAGCAATATAGAGTATATATAGATTAAACCTCTTCTTGTCCAATTTATTTGTTCGGCCACGTCTTTAGAGACCTTAAACAGTTTCTCCCAATTATACAATCATCATTTAAGGATTTGTATATTGTGGGGATATTCCCACTTAAGGGTCTCTTCTCCAGAGAGAAAAAGTTTAATTTTGGCAGTAGTTCCAAAAAAGCGGAGGTCCCCTTTTTAGGTTTGTTGCACTTCTCTGGGCTCTCACCAGCTTAGAAATATCATTCCAGAGGATCAGTAACCAAAACTGAATTGTGTACTCAAGGTTTGTGGACAAACCAGAGTTTTGTAAAGTGGTAAAATTATAGCTCATCTCTACAATAAATACCCTTTTTAATGCATGAATAAAATTATGCCATGTAAAAACATAGTACTAGTATAATTATAAACCAAAAAAGCTGTATGTTTTATCATTGAAAGGCAGTCCTGTAGCTTCAGTCAAGAATCTTTGCCTTGGCAATAAATCGGTTGCAGACAGATGTTTCCCGATCAGACTGAAGAATTTTAACACTGTAGCAAGTCACAAGCAAGATGGTGTAGCGGGAGGCTGATCGGTGTCAGACTTTTGAAAACACAGTCAAGAACTGCACAGGCATTAGGATTTACATGATTGTGTCATCTATGGGTCAACATCTCATGGTAGGAAGTAAATTATGTTCTTGAATGATACCTGAATAAAGGTGGAGCAAAAAGCAGACAAAGGTATTGTTAGGCAAGCCATATATTTTACAGATTTTCTTTCCTGAAGCCACAGGTGGAAGGAAAGAAAATTTCTCTATTCCCCCATCAACACAGTGTTGATAGGGGAATCTCTCCTGCAGCACTATTTTATTCTGCAGGCAGGGATCCTTCCCTAATTGCACTAGACAATGATCACCGTTAGCGCTATAGATGCCAGCAATGATTGTACGCAAAAAAGCCAACAGGCTGGTTGTACTGAAGACAACAGATGGATTATCTTCATAGATGGATCGAATGTAGGCCGGTCCCTGCTCAAAAAAAATGGCTGGTTTTAGGGGAGATGTAAAACAGTAGTAAAATGGTTCTTATGTGGTTTCTCTATGATGGGGGGGGGGGGAAAAATGTTCATTCAGCCAGCTGGTTGAGAAAAAGAAAAAAAAAAACCAAAAGCTAACAAATTCCTCTTTCCATACAAGCAAGATAAATGGAGAATCAACACCCCCCATCCCCTTTCACCAGGATATTGTATTCTGACAGCAGGACTGTCTGCTGTCGAAACACACAGATCAACAGCTGCAACACTCATGTCCTTTACATGAAAAAAAAGTTATGATGGATGATGAGTACACTTTAAGTAAATTACACACACACTCACTCTCTCTCTCTCACTCTCTCTCTCTCTCTCTCTCTCTCTCTCTCTCTCTCAGTATCACAAACCTAATCCATGCCTGAATGAAAAGCTGTGCTGTTTGTACAGCGTTTTTTAATTTTTCGAGTGATCACATCCATCAGAATTTTACCCATTTTGGAATTACATTTAATATGATTATCATTATTGCCATTTGATGGCAGCAAAAAAAACAAAAAACAAAACAAAAAACCCTATCTCTAAATTAGTACCTGAAAGGACCAACTAGTTTTCAAATAATTTTGGTAAGTCTCTACCAGCTTTGCACATTTCGAACTAGCAGTTTTTTTCCTTCTTCTTGGCAAATTGCTCTAGCTTCATTAGGTTGGATAGATACCAATGGTAAACAGCAGTTTTGTCAACACTTTTCTACTAGACTATTCAGGTTCTTTGTCTTAAACTACTCCGCTGTAGCTTTGGCTGTATGTTTAAGGTCACTGTCCTGCTGAAAGGTAATTAGACCTCTTACAGATTTTTTTTTTTTTAAATTCTTCCAGGAATATAGCTTTAGGGCTTGAAATGAGGTAGAGTTTTTTGTTGGACATTAAGAGCCAGGGAGGAGACTGGGGGGGAGGCAGGGGGGCTCCTGCCATGGGCGCTCCGACTGTGTTAGCTCTGCTGCAGCGTAATAATCCCTCTCCTCCTTCACTGAGCGCTCTCCACTCAAATCGCCTTGTTCTCCTTCATGGTTCATCCACCTTCCTTCCTGAAAAGTTACTTTCACCTGTAGCACCGGCACCCTTCACCCCCTTTCACCCCCACCTTCACTCCCCCCCCCCCCCACATCCGCATTAAATGTATCTACATCTTCCCGGTAATATTATATACAGTAAATCAGACATTCACATCAATCCCCCTTCACTTTCTCCCATTTCTTTCTGCTCTCCTTTCACATATATTTGCACTGCACACAGTCTGCAGCCTCTGACCTCAGATCTCAGCATTGCACTGTAGGAGTGCACACACTGACTTTCTGCATGACACCTTTTTCTTTCCAGCTTACTTTTATCTCTTCCAACTGTTCTGCAATCTAGTACATTCTCTGCAGTCCTTTAGGTGGCCATAGATAATTACTTTTTTTCATTCAGCCAGCAGGCAGAAAATGGTAGGTGGAGGAATAATCCCACAAGGACATTTTACTGTGACAGCAGGACCCGGTGCTATCAGAACACACTGATCAGTGGCTGCACTTAAATGGGTCACATTCAGCATGCGGTACCGCCCACTGAATGTGGCAGGAAGGATAATTTTTGCTGGGATTCGTGTGGGGTGATTGCGGCCTGCTGAATACTACCCATTTAAGTGCAGCTACTGACCAGTGTATTCTGATAGCACCAGGCTCTGCTGTCAAAAGTACAACTTCCTGGTGGAAGGATTCCTCCTATCAACAATTTCCGTGGATGAAGAAATCTGTCTTTTTTTTCATTCAGCCTGCTGGCTGAATGAAAAAAGAAATAGTCATCTGCAGCAGCCACCTTAAATGTCTGCAAAAATGTGCAGAACAGTTGGAAAAGATAGAAAGTAAGCTGGAAAGGAAAGGGTGTCATGCAGAAAGTCAGTGTGTGGACTCCAACAGTGGAATGCCCAGATCTGAGACCACACATGTAAACAAGACCTTAGGGTTCATTCACACAGGTTGGGGTGGTACAAACAGGCAGTTAAGCTGCAATTTTACCACCCCTGACTACCCACCTGACCAAGGAGATGCAACCACTCAGTGGTGTTCAATGGAAAAAATTACATGGAATGTCACCAAGAATGGGGCTGCAGCACAACTGCCCTGCAAGTGCATGTAATGAACATGGTTGGGGTGTTGTGGTTCAGCATTTACAGGGTTAAAATAGGCAGTTAGAAGGTGACATATTGCCCCCTCACTGGTAGCCAGACATCTGAAGCAATCCTTAAAGTCCTTTTGGCTCCCCTTCCTACTTTTGAGATGCCCACTTTAGTTCCATGTACCCCACACAGCCAATTTCCCCTCCATCATTCCACTGACATACAGTAGACGCCAATCTGTCCTCCCCAGACTGACACCAGTGATGCAGTAGGATTTTTTCCTTTCAGTGACACCACTCACACAGGTACATTTTTTCCTTTGCTGCTGTTAACCCCACATTTGTGAACCAATGATAAACTCTTCAATTCACTGTGTGTCTCACAACTCTTCGTAAGCCAGCCATAGACGAGTTGAAAACAGAACCTTCTGAAACGTAGAATGCTGGATCAGGCACTTTTGATTGTGGCACAGAAACTAGGTGTTGCGGCTGGCACACTAATGATGCAAAAAAACATACGATTTGATGATCGACACAAATTTAATTTGGTTTTTAACCCATCTATGGCCAGCTTTACTATTTCAGTGCATGTCACAGATATTATATATATTACAAACATTACACCACTATTAGCCCAATCCACTCCCCCGCCTGGGGGTGGGAAGGGGGATGCAGTTTGCCATCTTCGCCCTGGGCGCTGGATGACCTTGTCCCAGCACTGCTAAAAGCTATTTTGTCTACATCAGAAACAAAATATTTCAATGAAATCTACTTTAAATAGTTTGTAATACTACAAAATGTGGAAAAAGTGCAGAGGCAGATACTTATGACTGGAACTAATGTACATATTTATTAATCAGCCAATACATTTACTTACTAGAACAATGCCGAAATTCAAAACGGATATGTGCTCCTCTGAATTTATCCACAGGAATAGGAAGCTTTAATAGTTCTGACCACCTGGGACTGTTGTTGTGATATAACACAAAGGAATGATACTCGTGAGCTGTGGGTTCTCCTGAACCAAAAGATATATAATCCTGTAATATAAATTGCATAAGTAGGTTATAAAAAAGATATCAATTCTACAACCATTTTATAAAGCTGGTCATGAAAAAAAATGTATCAGCAGTATAAAGTTCCTATATAGAAGGAGATCATATGCACGCAGATTTTCCTTTAGTAGAATCCACTTATGTAGAGTTTATCAGTAAATAAACAGTTCACGAATTGTATGAAGTGAACAAGTGTTTAATGACCACAGATATTACCAAATATGTTTAATAACCGCTATAAGTAAGAAGAAGTGTTTGGCTCATTATCAGATATAGGTTAACAGCTACACAAACAATGCTTGCATGACAAACATAACTCTTAAAAATATAGGACAGCATATAAACAGGATGATACTAACAGAGTTAGGTCATGGCAGACATTTACTGTCAGATATCCAATATATTGACAAAATATAACACAGAACTTTATAAAGAAACTGCATTACAAAATATAGGGTGCAATTAAAAAAGCTGGCATCAGACAGCAGAATGTAGCATATTGCTACATAAAATAACATGCAAAGTAGCTTCTTTGAAAAGCAGTCAAAAGAGATGGAAGGTCCACAGATAACGGGCTACTAATGCTTTACTTTCCTTTAAGAGTTCCAACTTGACTCCATTATTTCCAACCACCAGAGCTGTCCTACAGGTCACCAAGACCACCACAAAATTGAATCTCCACTCCAGACAACATTCACATTGATCATAGAAATACCTATAGAACAGTCTATCCCAGGGGTGGGCAAACTTTTTGACTTGAGGGCCGCAATGGGTTCATATATTGGACCCGGGGGCCGGACCAAGAGTAGATGAATGATGTATGTGTCATCCATAGTAAGTATAGTAATATTCCCCCATAGTAAGCATAGTAAATAATCCCCATATAGTAATTCATCCCCCATAGTAATTCATCCCCCATATAGTAATTCATCCCCCATATAGCAATTCGTCCCCCATATAGCAATTCGTCCCCCATATAGCAATTCATCCCCCATAATAGTAATTCATCCCCCATAGTAATTCATCCCCCACATAGTAATTCATCCCCATATAGTAATTCATCCCCCATAGTAATTCATCCCCCACATAGTAATTCATCCCCCACATAGTAATTCATCCCCCACATAGTAATTCATCCCCCATATTGTAATTCATCCCCCATATAGTAATTCATCCCCCATATAGTAAGTCCCCCATATAGTAAGTCCCCCATATAGTAATTCATTCCCCATATAGTAAGTCCCCCATATAGTAATTCATTCCCCATATAGTAAGTCCCCCATATAGTAATTCATTCCCCATATAGTAAGTCCCCCATATAGTAATTCATTCCCCATAAAGTAAGTCCCCCATATAGTAATTCCAAAAGTAAGTCCCCCATATAGTAATTCATTCCCCATATAGTAAGTCCCCCATATAGTAATTCATTCCCCATAAAGTAAGTCCCCCATATAGTAATTCATTCCCCATAAAGTAAGTCCCCCATATAGTAATTCATTCCCCATATAGTAAGTCCCCCATATAGTAATTCATTCCCCATATAGTAAGTCCCCCATATAGTAATTCATTCCCCATATAGTAAGTCCCCCATATAGTAAGTCCTCCATATAGTAATTCATTCCCCATATAGTAAGTCCCCCATATAGTAATTCATTCCCCATATAGTAAGACCCCCATATAGTAATTCATCCCCCATATAGTAAGTCCCCCATATAGTAATTCATTCCCCATATAGTAAGTCCCCCCTATAGTAATTCATTCCCCATATAGTAAGTCCTCCATATAGTAATTCATTCCCCATATAGTAAGTCCCCCATATAGTAATTCATTCCCCATATAGTAAGTCCCCCATATAGTAATTCATTCCCCATATAGTAAGTCCCCCATATAGTAAGTCCCCCCTGTGTCAATTCACTTACCTTTGCTCCTCCGCGCGTTCCGCTCGTATTCCCGCGCCGTTCTGGTCTTCAGGGAGGACTGTGAGAGAAGAGTTCGTCACGCTGCCCCGCCTACATCCTGGCTGCCCCGCCTACATCCTGACAGCTGCAGAGTCCTGACGCCCGAGAGGAGGGAGGGGGCGGCCATCCTAGAGGGGGGGCGGCCATCCGAGAGGAGGGGAGGGGAGAGGAGGAGAGGAGGTCGCCCGCCCGCCCGAGAGGAGGGAGGGGAGCGGGCGCCCGGCACACAGGAGAGCCGCATCTATTGTAAAGAGCCGCGGCTTGCCGACCACTGGCCTTGCGGGAGCCTAGCTCCGCGGGCCGGATTAAAAGGTCCGCCGGGCCGTATACGGCCCGCGGGCCGTAGTTTGCCCATTGCTGGTCTATCCCAACTTTTTCAACACAGATGAACCCTTGAGTTAATGTTCTTATCCCAAGGAATCCATGCTAATAATTACTATATCTATAGGTCACAGTATATTAGTAGTGATGGTCAATGGAAGGAATACTCTTTACATTTGTGGTCAGTGAAAAGAATCCGCACTTACAGAAAGCTAAAAAGATAATAGGTTTGTTATCTAATAAGCAAAAACTGCCCCTAGCAACCCCTGGAAGAAACCTAGGGTTCCCCAGAACCCTGGTTAGGAAAGTCTTACATAATGTATGTGAAGTTCATCTGTACTAGAAATTCCAATTCAGTTCATTCTCACTGCTTTCCACAGCAGTTAAACAAGATAGCATGGTCATTAACCCACCCCTGCATATTTACTGAACAATGAAGGATCAGCACATGAATAATGTCATCACTCTGGTCTCTCATCCTGTTATCAGGCTCACATGTAAAATTGACAGCAAAGTGCAATCTATTGCTTCACTGATAGCATTGCCCCTGCCTCAGATTCTTGATGCACAGGGAATTAAAGGGAGCTAATATAATGACAGACCTAGGCACTCGCACTAGCTGTATTTAAAGGATCATTACAGGCAGCTGCATGCTATACATATTTACACTGGTCCCACATTGAGCAGCTAACCTGATGCCTTGTGTATACAGAAGGTCTGCATGGGCACCATTCAGAGAATGCAATATATTTTCTGAACGAATGAAAACCATTCCCTGATTAGAAAAGGTGGAGAGCATGATGATGCTATAGTAGCAATGCTACTTCACTGATTTCAAGCTTCTAGTGGCATTGGCCAGGTTCATCGTACACATATTTGGATTGGTCCAACATGCTGTTGCCTGGAATTATTCTTTAAAGGATAAGTTCACCTTTTAGACAAAGATAATAAATGCACATCTTTTGCAGGTAAAAAAATATGCATTTATTATTTTTGTCTACAGGAGCCTGGAAAGCACTGCACCATGCCATTCAGGTCTCCTGCAGACCTGTCAGAATATCCGCATGCCGAACAGGATGTATGAATAAACAGATATTCTGACAGGAAGTTTCAAAGAACTACCACGGCGCCATGATAGTTCATTGAAAATTACAAGCTGATAGCTGCTAAGGATGGAAGTCCGTGAATTAATGATGTGGCCATGTGGGCGGAGGCCCCCAAGGCCACACAGTTTTCATATTTGACAGATAGTACAGGGAGACCTACAATGGAATGGTCTAGCTGTGGACCTCTGCAACTCATCCAGAGTTACAATGGGCCTCTTGGCAGCTTCTCTGATTAATGCTCTGCTTACCCAGCCTGTCAGTTTAGGTAGATGGCCATGTCTTAGTAGGTTTGCAGTACTCTTTCCATTTTCAGATGATGGATTGAACAGTGTTCCGTGAGATGTTCAAAGCTTGGGATATTTTTTTTTTTAACCTAACCCTGCTTTATACTTCTCCACAACTTTATCCCTGACCTGTCTGGTGTGTTCCTTGGCCTTCCTGATGCCGTTTGTTTACTAATGCTCTCTAATGAACCTCTGAAGGTTCACAGAACAGCTGCATTTATATGGAGATTAAATTACACACAGATGGACTCTATTTACTAATTAGGTGTCTTCTGAAGGCAACTGGTTTCACTAGATTTTAGTTAAAGGTATCAGAGTAAAGGGTGCTGAATACAAATACACACCACACTTTTCAGATATTTGCAAAAAATGTTGAAAACCATTTCTCATTTTCTTTCCAGTTCATAATTATGTGCCACTTTGGATTGGTCTATTACATAAAATCCAAATAAAAATACATTTACGTTTTTGGATGTAACATGACAAAATGTGGAAAATTTCAATGGGTATGAATACTTTTTCAAGGCACTGTAGAGTACACCCATACTTGATTCAAGTACCTTGGGCATACCTTGGGATTTGTAATGCACCACTTTATAGCAGGTTTGCTCTTGTCAACTGCTAATATTTATTCATACCTTATATGACCAGAGCTTCTTTCCCCCTCTGCAGCAGATGTGTTAGCCAAAATTGCAAGGGCCAGCTGTCCCTTTGACAGCCAGGTTCTGGTCTGTCTCCAAGAAACACTGATATGAGATCCTATATAAATATAGCCTGTAAACTGTGTCTGAAATCTTTTGCTCTACATATACTGTATCAAAATTATTGCTATATGGTATTTATGTGTAGTTCAATGGAGCGTCCTTTGATCTGCATATAATGGCCATTAAGGCAATATTCCTACTTTTTTTGTGTTTTGTTTTTTATAGTAAAAATTATACCTATCCCCATTTTAATCCATAGCTCACCTTAATCAGCATTAATTAGGTTCCTGCTGTTAGCTTTTTCATTCATTTGGTTTTGTAACATTGCATTAGTTTTGTAGCATTGCATTAGAAAATGCACCGATTTCATTTATAAAAAAAACTTTTGCCATACTTTTTACCTGAAATGTTATTTTATTGTATAATAAAATAAAATTTGCACTTTATATCTAGAAATACAATTTGTTTTAAAAGCAATAATTAAATAATAAGCTAATTTAACTAGAAGAATTTATATTTCACATACGAAAAATTAGAATATCGTTCAAAAGGTCATTTATTTCAGTAATGCAACTTAAAAGGTGAAACTAATACATGAGATAGACTCAATACATGCAAAGC